TTTATTCATGCCCACTGCCTTTTTTCAGAGGATGCAGTTAACAATTTCAGCCTCTGGATGGTGCAAATTGACAAGAGTCCAGTGAAAGTTCCTGAATTACAGCCCAAGGTGCACCTGTTGCTGCACTGCACCAAGTGAAGGAGGGTGGGGTAGGGGAAAGACTTTCTGGATCTGAAATTTCAGTATAAACATGGATCCAGGCTCACTAGAAATTCAGATTAAGGGAAATTTTTAAAATTTGATCACTGACAAGTCAGGTTATTGAATAAGGAAAGACGAAAGAAAATTGTAATAATGAAGAGGAAGAAAAAAGGAACAAATAATTAAATATGAGAGAAAATAAGTCTAAAGAGATGAATTCAAGTGTTAGTGACATAGTATGACCCTTTACTGGTCTGCATTCCCTGGTAACTAATAGCAACTTCAATGTAAAAATAAAGCTTTCTTCATTCTCTTCTAGAAAGTCAGTTATGCTACCCTTAGCTTATCCATTTGTTGGTATGACATTATCAACAAATATTTTTAGTATCTACTATGACTATGGTGCTTTGTTGATACAAAGTAATACAGAGATATAGAAATTAACACAGATACTGGGCTTCAAGCAGAAGAACCAGTAAGTATATATAAGAAGATTAGGCCGGGCGCGGTGGCTCAAGCCTGTAATCCCAGCACTTTGGGAGGCTGAGGCGGGTGGATCACAAGGTCAAGAGATCGAGACCATCCTGGTCAACATGGTGAAACCCCGTCTCTACTAAAAATGCAAAAAATTAGCTGGGCATGGTGGCGCGTGCCTGTAATCCCAGCTACTCAGGAGGCTGAGGCAGGAGAATTGCCTGAACCCAGGAGGCGGAGGTTGCGGTGAGCCGAGATCGCACCATTGCACTCCAGCCTGGGTAACAAGGGTGAAACTCCGTCCCAAAAAAAAAAAAAAAAAAAAAAAAAGAATCTCCCAAAAAAAAAAAAAAAAAAAAAAAAAAAGAAGATTAGTAATTCAAGGCAACCTGAGGGCCATTGTGTCAACTCAGAAAATTGAATACTTTTTGAGACTGGGAGTGGAGTGTCAGCAGGATAGGGAGGAAGGGATCATAGGACCCTCAACCTGTCCAGGGCAAACAAAAAATAAAAGGATTGCTTCTGGCTTTTAGTCATAAGTACATGTAGCAACTCTTCCTTGGAAAATGGCTAGTTCTAGACATAGACATAGGAAAAGTGCTCTCGGTCAGAATCTGCTGGACAGTGCTGGATAGTCTTATATTAATAGGAAGGGGTGGGAGATGTGAGGAAATAATGGCTAAGGCCAGTACCACCACTGAAACCACCATTGCACTAGCCTAGGGCACAGAAAAGGAAGTTTGTTAATGTCTTGTTCAGGCCTTTCAGAGCTCCAAAGTCCCAGGTCACTTTGATTTTTGAGATTACAGGTATATCTAAAAAATGAAGTAATGGTAAAACACAGATATAAAGTTGTTCTATATTTTATTTTTATTTTTTTTATTTTTTGAGACGGAGTCTTACTCTGTCACCCAGGCTGGAGTGCATCTCAGCTCACTGCAATCTCCACCTCCCAGGTTTAGGCAATTCTCCTGCCTCAGCTTTTCCTGCCTCAGCTGGGATTACAGGTGCCTCGCACCATGCCCTGCAAATTTTTGTATTTTTAGTAGAGATGGGGTTTCACCATGTTGTCCAGGGAGGTCTCAAACTCCTGACTTCACGTGGTCCACCCACCTGGGCCTCCCAAAGTGCTGGGATTACAGGTGTGAGCCACCACACCCAGCTGTTGTATATTTTAAGTATTTCTATCTAACAGAGCAATGCTCTTAATACACACACAAATATGGCTGTTTACTTAATGTCATTCAGCAATAACTTAAAAAGCTTCAATTGAAGTTTTTTTGAATGTGCCTACTTTGCCCTAAGCAACTACCTATCTTAATCTTTAGGCCTATCAAAAAGTATTGGGATGACATTGACCCTTTAAAAAGATGGAGCAGCTTCTAGATGCCTCTAAAACTTGGAAATAAACACAACTTCTGGAAATGTAGTAGTAATATATTAGCCAAGAGGAATAGAGTTTTTTATTTTTATTTTTTTGTTGTTTGTTCTTTTTGCGATGGAGTCTCGTTTTGTCGCCCAGTCTGGAGTGCAATAGCGTGATCTCAGCTCACTGCAACCTCCGCCTCCTGGGTTCAAGCAATTCTCCTGCCTCAGCCTCCTGAGTAGCTGAGATTACAGGCACCTGTCACCACGCCTGACTACTTTTTTGTATTTTTAGTAGAGATGGGGTTTCACCATGTTGACCAGGCTGGTTTCAAACTCCTGACTCAAGTGATCCACCTGCCTCAGCCTCCCAAAGAGCTTGGATTATAGGTGTGAGCCATCATGTTTGGCCAACAGATGTAGTAGCCACTGATTGCATATTAACCAGTGTTAATGATTATCTCTGGGAAGAGAGATTAGGTATTACTTTTATTCTTTATACTTTTGAGAATTTTCTAAAATTTTTTATAATGAGGATGTACATTAATAATTATAAAAACAAAGTGTAGTAGCTTAATAAGAAAGAATTTGCAATAGAAACAGTGAATAAGTCTAGGCACGATGGCTCACACCTGTAATCCCTACACTTTGGTATGCCAAGGTGGGTGGATCACTTGAGGTCAGGAGTTCGAGACCAGCCTGACCAATATGGTGAAACCCTGTCTCCACTAAAAATACAAAAATTAGCCAGGCGTTAGTGGTGCACACCGGTAATCCCAGTTACTCAGGAGGCTGAGGCAGGAGAATTGCTCAAACTCAGGAGGCAGAGGTTGCAGTAAACTGAGATCACACCAGTGCACTCCAGCCTGGGCGACAGTGTGAAGCTCCATCTCAAAAAAAAAAAAAAAAAAAAATCAGCGAATAATTTTACATGAATAATTGGCACTTCCACAGAAACAGTGTTTTATCAAGTTGTGTATAACTTGGTCTGCAATGGTGACACTAAAAATGGTGCCCAACTCTGAAGTGATGTGCAGATTTAAGTCCACATCCCAAAGCCCACATAGGAGTTCTTTCTCCTTTGCCATCTCTCTCATCTCTGTTTTTAAAGATCTTCACTTGCAAGGGAATATGGGACTTGAAGTTTTTAACTGATTAGGGAGTCAGAAAATCCTCAGAGGGGTCTTGCTTTGTCAGGGGAAACAAATTGTCCCCAAAGCAAGATAATTTTGATTCTGTCTGTTAATTTCTATAAAGTCACTACAAATGTTACCCAAATTATACTTTTTTTTTTTTTTTTGTCACCCAGGCTGGAGTGCAGTGGTACAATCTCAGGTTAAGCAATTCTCATGCCTCACCCTCTGCAGTAGCTGGGATAACAGGTGCCCACCACCATGCCTGGCTAATTTTTGTATTTTTAGTAGAGACAGGGTTTCACCATGTTGTCCAGGCTGGTCTCAAACTCCTGGCCTCAAGCCATCTGCCTGCCTTAGCGTCCCAAAGTGCTAGGATTACAGGCTTGAGCCACTGTGCCCAGCCTCCAATTACACTCTTGCAGAAGAGTTGATGAGTGCAGACTTTGCCATAGGTTTTATCTCCTGGGAGATCTCGTGTTTCAGGATTAAGGGACATTCAGTGGTGAATGAGGCTGGGAAGGGTGAGGATGCATGTAGGCATTAGTTTTGGACCAAGAGCTTCTAAGTATATAATGTTTTTAATCATCCTCACCAGTGGTCTTGGGAAAGAGCAGGCATTTTTTTTTTCTTCCTATTTTATGGTCAAACTAAGTCAAAGATGGCAAAATAAACTTGAGGCAACATTGTGGATCAGAGGCAGGATGCAAATAATATACTCATCCATCCAAATGCCAACCTCAGTGCTCTTTCCTCTCTATCATATTTTCAATGGAAATTTAGAGGTTCTTTTTTTTTTGAGATGGAGTTTTGCTCTTGTTGCCCAGGCTGGAGTGCAATGGTGCGATCTCTGCTCACTGCAACCTCCGCTTCCTGGGTTCAAGGAATTCTCCTGCTTCAGCCTCCCCAGTAGCTGAGATTACAGGCACCCTCCACCATGCCCAGCTAATTTTTGTGTCTTTAGTAGAGACAAGGTTTCATCATCTTGGCCAGGCTGGTCTTGAACTTCTGACCTCAGATGATCCACCCACCTTGGACTCCCAAAGTGCTGGGATTACATTCATGAGCCACTACTCTTGGCCCAGGGGTTCTTTAGGGACTCTTGAAACATGTCCTCATTATCCATGCTTTATACTTGTTCTGTCTCTTCCAGGATGAACTTGAATTTTTTCTTTTTCTTTTTCTTTTTTTTTTTTTGAGATGGAGTCTTACTCTAACACCAGACTGGAGTGGAGTGGCACAATCTTGGCTCACTGCACCCTCCGCCTCCTGGTTCAAGTGATTCTTCTGCCTCAGCCTCTTGAGTATCTTGGTTTTTTTGCTTTCTTTTCCTCGCTGATTTTTGTTTTTTTTTTTTTTTTTTTTTTTTTTTTTTTTTTTTGAGACGGAGTTTCGCTCTCGTTACCCAGGCTGGAGTGCAATGGCACGATCTCGGCTCACCGCAACCTCTGCCTCCTGGGTTCAGGCAATTCTCCTGCCTCAGCCTCCTGAGTAGCTGGGATTACAGGCACGCACCACCATGCCCAGCTAATTTTTTGTAGTTTTAGTAGAGACAGGGTTTCACCATGTTGACCAGGATGGTCTTGATCTCTTGACCTCGTGATCCACCCGTCTCGGCCTCCCAAAGTGCTGGGATTACAGGCGTGAGCCACCGCGCCCGGCCTGAACTTGAATACTAAATCGAGCCTTAGGGTGAGATTTTCTCCTGTTGGTATTGTTTTGATAATCACTTCTTGGATAGCACTTGAAGTGAAAGAAAGAAGGATACGGTATATATATATATGTATATATATATATATATATGTGTGTATATATATATATATATGTATATATACATATATATATACACATATATATATATATATATATATATATATTTTTTTTTTTTTAACCAGAGAACTAAGAAAACAGAATTACTTCGAAACAGATACATTTCACCAAAATGAAATGAAATGGTTTCAGAGACTCAGGAAAAGAAGCAGGGCCTCACCCTCCTGACATTTCCTTTTTCACCTGAACATGGATTCAAGATCAGCTGGTTCCACTTTCTCACCAAACTCTTACTGAAGCAGGTTAGAATTGACTCATAACTATGCTCCTGTAAGAAACAGCATCGTCATAGTTATTTTGCTCTGGAACCCTGTCCAAAAGTTACGCAGCTCTCTATTAAAGTATGATATAATGTCAGAGCCACTTTAGGAATTCTGGATGGTCAGAAGACTTCACTTGGCTACTGATGGTCTGTAGTCCCTGAATCCCTTGGGGACAACTTATGAGGAAGACTTTTGGAATGTGCAGGGTCAGTTCCCTTCAGCAGTGTGTTGATAGGTACCCTTAGTGGCAGAAACTATAAAATCTTATAAACGTCAACCAGGGAGAGCAGGAGTCCCACTGTAAGCTAGTTGAGAGCCAGTGAGCATGAAGTCAGCTAAGATAACAGAGGAGTTGGAAGCTGTGTCACACTAACAGCTGTCTTGTTCCTTGGAGGCTGTGTTTGAGTCTTCTGTCAAAGAGAGCAATAAGGTTCATTCACAGTACTTGGAGGGAAGGCTTTTTGTTCTCATTTGAGGGGATGGAAAGATATCCATTTTGATGGCTGTATGAAGTGAATTACAGAAGGTTGTGGCTCACACAAGGGCATAAGGGTAACTCTGCTAAGCCCATACTCTCCCTTCATTAACCAGGAAGTGCTGTTTGATTGCAGTGTCCCTGCTGAAGATACGAGTGTAAAATTGGTAAGAATCTGCCCATATTAATAGGGAGAAGACTGTAGTATCATTCATTCAATGTGTGAGACAGCAGAACTTTTCAGAAGTATGTCTGGTGGATAACAGTGATCCCTGCAGCTTTCTTTGGGTTTGATGAGTTGGCAGCATCTTGTCCAACCTAGACATTGAAAGGAAATATGAAAGTTAAAAGAGGATGCAAGTGTATAGTTCTTCATGTGCCAAGAAAGGGGCTGGCTAAGTACAAAACCCCATGTCATTCCAAGTGCACTTCATGTTGCCTCTTCGTTAATCGGTAATTACCCTGAGAAAGTATGGATCAAGGTACGCGTAAGTATGAAAACCTATAATTGCTTGGAACCTATAACCCACTAGCAAAGTAATTAAAAGATCTGGATCATAGTTCTCTTTCTACAAGCTGTATAACCATGAGAAGTCACATAACCTCTTCAAACTTCAACTTAAGTATGAGTAAAATGTAGATACTTGCCCTGGCTACTTTCCAGGATTTCTGTGAGGCTCAAATGAGATAATGTTTATAAAATTGTTATCTTAGTACTATTTGTATTACTATTTTTATTCCTTTATCATTTAGTAGCCTATTGTGTTCATAGACGTTTAATCATGGTTGCGGCTCTGTGGTTATCCCCCCTAATTCTAATTCTGAATTTGTAGTTCTCTTTAGGCCTATTTCTTCCAATGTTGAGGAGAAATGATAATGTTCTTCTTTTTTTTTCTTTTTTTTTTTGATACAGAGTCTCACTCTCTTCTCCAGGCTTGAGTGCAGTGGCTCAATCATAGCTAACTGCAGCCTTCAACTCCTGAGCCCAAGTGATCCTCCCACCTCAGCCTCCTAAGAAGCCTGGACTACAGGCATTTGCCACTAGCTGGCAATATATATATATATATATATATATATTTTATAGAGACAGTGTCTTGCTATGTTGCCTAGGCTGGTCTCAAACTCCTGGACTCTAGCAAGGCTCCTACCTCTGCCTCCCAAAGCACTGGGATTGCAGGCATGATGAACCAGGTCTGGCTTTAAAAATCTTAAAAGTATGATTCTTGACTCCAATCTAAATGATCTGATTCAGTTTATATGGGGCCCAGAGGTATGTGTATTCAATAAGCACCTTATTGTGTTATGGCTGGACTGATGTTAGGAAAACAATAGTATAAAATCCTACCTATTTTCTGACATAAAAAAAAAATTACCCACATTTGCTTATAACTGAAGCAGCTCCCTGTTCCCAGCACATTAAAAAAATATATTTTTTCACAGTCCTCTTAGGGATGAATTTAGCACTTGTATATTAACTCCATTTTCTTTTTCTTTTCTTTCCTTTTTTTGAGACAGACTCTCATTCTGTTGACCAGGTTGGAGTGCAGTGGTGCGATCTCAGCTCACTGCAACCTTCACCTCCCAGGTTCAAGCGATTCTCCTGCCTCAGCCTCCTGAGTAGTTGGGATTACAGACACATGCACCACATTCAGCTAATTTTTGCAATTTTAGTAGAGACAGGGTTTCACCATGTTGGCCAGGCTGGTCTCTAACTCCTGACCTCAAGTAATCCACCTACCTTGGCTTCTTTCTTTTTATTTAAAAAAAAAATTTTTTTAAGAGACGGGGTCTTGCTCTGTTGCCCAGGCTGAAGTGCAGTGGCTATTCACAGGCGCGATCCCACTACTGATCAGCTTGGGAGTTTTGACTTGCTCCGTTTCCGACCCGGGCCGGTTCACCCCTCCTTAGGCAACCTGGTGGTCCCCCGCTCCCGGGAGGTCACCATATTGATGCTGAAGTTAGTGCGGATACCGAATCGGCATAGCGCACTACAGCCCAGAACTCCTGGGCTTAAGCGATCCTCCCACCTCAGCTTCCCAAGTAGCTGGGACTACAGGCACGCACCACCGCGCCCACTACCCCACTTTCTTTAAGCAAATGACATAAATCACACGGAGAATACTTTCCTTCTGTGGCTGAGAGTCAGGCTTGGATTCAGCTGTCACAGGTGGCTGGCCTTGCTTCCTTTCCCGTCTCCACAACCACTGGCATTGGCACAGCTCCCTAGCTTGTAGGCATTGACGCTGAAGGGAGAAAATGACTGGTATTAATATTAAGTGGCTGGTAGTATTTGGTTTTCTTCCAAACCCCATGTTGGGCAACTTAAAGGAAGTCATCTCTTCTAAATAAAATATTCAGTCCTATTGGACCTATCCTTCCTAGAAAATGTCTAATTACAGCAGAGGAAAGGAAGTTGCATTTAGCAAGCACCTCTGTGCCAGGCACTTTTCACACAGGATCTCAATCTTCATCACTACTATGAGAGGCAAATATCATGACACTTATTTTACACATGAGGCCACTGAGGTTAGAAAAGTCAAACAACGCTGGGCATGGTGGCTCACACCTGTAATCCCAGCACTTTAGGAGGCCAAGGCAGCCGGATCACGAGGCCAGGAGTTCCACACCAGCCTGGCCAACATAGTGAAACCCTGTCTCTACTAAAAATACAAAAATTAGCCAGGTGTGGTGGCACATGCCTGTAGTCCCAGCTATTTGGGAGGTTGAGGCGGAGAATTGCTTTAAGCTGGGAGGTGGAGGTTGCAGTGAGCTGAGACCACACCACTGCACTCCAGCCTGGTGATAGAGTGAGACTGTCTCGAAAAGAAAGAAAAAAAGAGGAAGAGTCAAACAACTTTCCCAAACCACTCAGCTAGTGAGTGTAAGTGGCAGATCTACCCCAATGCCAAAGTCTATGCTTTTCTCATTATGCCAAGCTGCCTCTGTAACAAAAGAAAGTCTTTATAGATCAAGTCCAAGGATTCAATACATCAGCAAACTTACAGGGCATGGGACTTCAAAAATTATAAATACTGTAATGGCGATTCCACTGAGCAACAGGGTGACAGCAATCAGAATTTTGACCACAATACTCCATTTCTTTCTCTTCTCTAGGCTCTCATCTGTGTCTAAAGGAGAGAGGGAGTGGAAGAGGGAGAGAAGAGAATTTGAGAGAGGGAAGAGATTGAACCTTTGACTTGAAGTTCTTCTGGCTCATAAGAATAATAGACGCCCAGCCTGACCCAGAGGCAGAGGCTGAATTTCCAATTCAGACTCAGGGTTGGAGGGGAAAGGGGTGAGCTGAGCATCATGGACTCTGCTCTAACTTCTTTTGCAGCCTCTTCCCAATGAGTCATCTTCCCTGGAATTGGAGATTTTCCATAATCACATAGGGCTGATTCTTACACTGTTCTCAGGAACAAAAATCTTGGGTACACAAGGAGTTCTAAACGTCTTTCACTGTCAGCTTTATCAGGGTTCCTACCATTTTGCTCTGACACATTTTATGGGATTAGAAAATCGCCGTTCCTGTGTTTCCCTTGGCTTTTATGGGGTATAAGAGGAAGAAATGTAAATTGGCACTGCTTCTGGGTCAGAAGCTCAATCTGGCATCAAATGGCTAATAGGCATTTCTTTCTCACTCTGTCACTCAGGCTGGCATGCAGTGGCACAACCTTGGCTCACTGCAGCCTCAATCTCCCAGGCTCAAAACATCCTCCCACCTCAGCCTCCTGAATAGCTGGTACCACAGGCACACGCCACTATGCCCGGCTAATTTTTGAAAATTTTTGTACAGACAGAGTCTCCTTATATTTCCCACTGAGCTTGAACTCCTGGCCTCAGTGATCCTACAGCCTTGGCCTCTGAAAGTGCTGGGATTACAGGTGTGAGCCACCTCACCCAGCCCTTATATGCATCTTGTTATTACTAATATCATATTTTTTTTCCTCTGGTAGAAACTAGGATGTAACCCAAATTGGAATCTTATAGAATTTGAGTCTTGGCCAATTTAAGGAAGACTGTTGCAAAAAAAAAAAACAGTGAAGCAGGCTGTGTGCGGTGGCTCATGCCTGTAATCCCAGCACTTTGGGAGGCTGAGGTGGGCAGATCACTGGAGGTCAGGAGTCTTAGACCAGCCTGGCCAACATGGTGAAACCCGTCTCTACTAAAAACACAAAAATTAGCCAGGCATGGTGGTGCATGAGAATCCCTTTGCATAGTTTGCAAGTTAGAAAAGAA